AGGAAGGGCGTGGACCTGTTCGCGAGACACGACAAGGAGAATCTAGCCCCGGCAGCTCCGCTGAACGTCGGCCTCGCGAAACATGCGCCGAACGACCGGTCCAACGCGAACCGGGACAAGACCGACACGATCTGCCAGATCGAGAAGTCCTCGCACGATACCGATTTGAATCTGAAGGAGAGGAGGCACATATTCCTGGAGCAGGTCCTGTCCCCGCCGAAACTGCTGACCTGGAACAAGAGGAGGTCCCTCGTCGGCTCCGCCGTGAAGAAGTTTTAGGAAACTCGTTCCACGATTTCACGTCGCCGATACGAGTTTCCTTCGCGCACCCCCGCGAGAGTTCGGGGCACGAGCTTCCCGCCGCGGGTGATACTTTAGCTTTAGTTTCGTACGATCGTTGTCTTCCTGGGTCGAGCCGCCTCGTCTCGAGGACGAAGCAGTTGCGTCCGTGTACTGTATCCATTTTTATTAAGTATGTAAATCAATTACATCGTTGCCAAGTACGATATTACATTATACAATATTAAAGATCTGTAATAATTATACATATGAAAATTATTTTTATATACAACAATGTTATGTATAATAAAAGACTTTTTTACACCATAATGTATGTATATGTAGTTATGTGTTTTGTATATTTATATATATATCTCTCTATCTACAGGGTGAATCGTTGAAAATTAAAACCTAAAGTATTGCTGTTATCGAAACAGAATGATTTTGAAGAATAGAGCTATTTAAAGGGGCAAACAATGTATAAAAGAATGGTTTCAAATTAATAATTTCATATATTTTCCTTACAAATCTGTTATATCGCTAAGGACAGCGGAGATATTTTAGGTTTTAATCTCACGTGATTCACTCTGCGTACGTATATAATTTTTTTCATTTTTAAATGGCACTGGAAAACTGCATGTTGTCGCCGTATAGAGAAAGACTACAATGTGTGTTGGAAAGAATGCGGTAAACATCGAGATTCAAACAATCGTCTAGAAACTGCGCTTGTTACAGTAATAATAATAATAATAATAATAATAATAATAATAATAACGGGACGAACAAGAAGAATGATAATAATAAAAACAATTCTACTTTTTAGTGCGAAGTAGCATACAGGTTCGTACGCTTACCTAAGTGACTAATTTATATATATATGTATGTTAACATAACTTTTACCAGTGCAATCTTCACTATACTACATAACATACAATTAATTACTTTTATCGTTTACTTAGTACTTATTTCTCGTTTGTACGCACGAGTTCAATTACACTTTCCATTGAAATAATTTCGATACGACGTTCAACGAAATCAATAAAGAATAAATAAAAACTAAATAATAATAATAATGATAATAAACTATACTGTCAGTCTTTTAAGTATAAAAGTTGATTGCACGTTAGACGTTCCTTGTCGTGTTCGTCTGATATGTAATACAATGATTGGCAGTCAAACAAGTTTCGTATAAATAACCAGGTACGCGTCATTAACGTACAACGCCCTCGTGAACACAACATTATTGCACAAACAAGTTGCGAATACCCTTACGTCTCTCGTTCCTTAAAACTAACAGCGAATCGTCTACACATAGAAAATGTGGAAAATCGTTGGCATTTGAAACGTATTCATAAATGCATTCTAAATTGCATAGAATCATTGCGGTATACAAATTCGGATTTTTTAACGTTCAAATTAGAGTGCTCTGCCCGGCGCTCGCGTTCCCGTCGTATTTCTTTATCCATTTGATGTGACAGATCAACGGCAGGCTCCGCAAATTGTTGCATATCCGTGTTCCAAGGGAAATTTTCCGTAACTCTTGAGCAACTTGATGCAGAGATTTCCCTTTAGTCTCTGGAATGAACAGGAAAACGTAAAATATGGTGATCAAACACATGAAGCTGTAGAACAGATACGATCCTGCCAGTGTTAGTGATTCTGAAAAAAAAGAAAATTATTAAATACATAGTAAACAAAAAAATAGAGTATCCAAATGATTTACGCATAATATTAATAATAATGAAAACTTACTAATCATAGAAACAACAGATTCTGTGGCAATAATGTGTGTTACCCATATGACAATGGAAAGAAGACTAATGCACTTTCCTCGTATCGCGGCTGGGAAGACTTCAGTAAGATTCAGCAACGGTACCGGACCAAGTCCTAAAGCGTACGCAGCCTCGTACACGAGTAACGTTATTACTGCCAAAATCCGTAAACCACCGGTAAGACCTTCCGAGACAATAATGTTCTGAGTCTGCAATCAAAATATTATGTGTTCAAGGTTTAAGTTATATGAAAGCGGAGAAGGAACTTGATTCTTTCTCTGTTTGGGAATATGTACCTCGCAAGAGGATTTCACTTGAGTCCATGTCTCTGGACTGGGAGCGACTATGGCCAACGGTGTTGGTAACAATGGAAATGGCGGTGGAGATCCGGCTGGTATAGAGTTCTGAACTTTAATCTCCTCGTTGCGGTAGTTCTTGCAATGAGGAGTTATTATGCCTAAGTTGTCGTCGCTTCTGTCTATGGTAGCCAACAGTGACAACAATGATATCGTTGTCATGCAGATTGTTGCGGATGTAATTAAAGCAGTCCGTCGTCCGCATCTTTCCACTATGATCAATGACAGTACCGTGCTGAACACCTTCACCACGCCGAGAGATATTAAAGCGGTTATTTCAGCAACATCTGCAATGGAATTCATATGGAATTTTTGGTCCGTGTATTTTTGATAACGGTTCAAACGAATAGAATACTACTTACTTGAACAAATTCCCAGTAACGCGAACAATCGAGGCGCGTAATATAGAACTTGACGTTTACCAGTACCCTGTTGCAGTATCAGTAAGAACACCATGATCGTGAAGGTTTCGAGAATCATGTGCCAAGCATTTTTCGATGGTGTCTTCGAGACGTTCGTTATGCGTTTATAGAGCAAGAACGGCGGAGACCGTTGAAGAAATATGATGGTAATGATACAAGCAGCCAAGGAAGGAACGGCTGTTATACCAATGGAGAACCGCCATTGATAATCTATGTTTTTTACAGCAGCGGCAATAACGGATACCAAGAATCCGGTAGCCGTGCCTAACTGATACAGCATTACGTTGTACCCGCGTTTATTCGAATCAGACACTTCTGCCATGTAAATGCAATGCGCCACAGCTGAAACGGATCCGGAATAGCCGCATATTATTCGCGCTACGAGGAGCAGAATATAATGATTCGCCAAGGCTGACAATGTTGCTCCAAACGTTAAGAACACTAGTGTTAGTATCATTGTCCAACGACGGCCGAACGAATCAACTAAAAAGCCTGTAATACAAGAGGATAATATTTGTATTTGAATTGTTTTACAGCAGCCGACACAAAAAATGCAAATGCAATGAAGATGTGAAATTGTGTGGAGTTTGGAGGTACCTACCACCGGTTAAACCACCAAGAAGAGCTCCGATAAACCAAATACTAATAACAAAGTCTTTTTCAAAACAGTTCAAGTTGAATTCATGTTTAATTAGAGGAGCTATAGGTTTTGCTACTCCCATGTCACACCCAAAAGCAATCCCTGCTAAAACTGCCACCATGGAAACGAAAACATTCTGATTTCCTGATGTCAACGGCGTTAGGTTGTCATTTTGCTTTGGAATTGGCTTCCTCAAGTTTTTTGGAGGTATACATTGGTATTCCTCGTTTGGAACTTTATTTATAGATGTTTCTGTGGTCTTGTTCGCACTGTTTAACAATATCGCTGTGTCTTCCTCGTCTGACATTGTCTCTTAATGCGATAGCACATACAATAGATTCACATTAAATCATCTATTCTGAAGTCCTGCAAATTATATTTAAAAACTGACACATTTCATGATTCTTTTAAATTTGATTTCTGGTATGCAGTTGAAACGAATGTCTAAATAGAGATGCTGTCAATTCTGATATTGTGCGCTGAAACTTATCGTACAATCACATTTCGGTTGCAACTTAAGCATCAAGTCTTGAGGAAGGTAACAATAATATTGACAAGAGACTGTAGTATTTTCTTTTTACTTACGTGATTGACTCGTACCATAGGAAAATAAGTTCCAATATGACACTCGCTACTCGTACAACACAAAACTACGATGATCACGATCGTTGTTGCTGTTCTTTTTATTCATTTGACAATTTGTAATTTTAGACTCGAAACGTCCGTAAATTGACACTTCTCATCAGCGTTTAGATTGGCAGCGCCATCTTACGCAACTTCACAAGTAAAAGAGCGTAAGTTACACAAACTTAAGTTATATACAAACTGCATACAATGTACTTTTCTGTCTACCGTTCTGAAATACCGACACCGTCAGAAGTACCCCGATGCATTGGCGGACAAAAATAATGATCCGATGTTCATCAAATTAAAATTAAAATGAATAAAATAAACGAAAGCCGTATAACTAATTAATTAAAATAAAAAGGAAATAAATAATTTCCTTGCTCGATCAAATACGAAAATTATCACAATTCTATACTTTCATCTCCCATTACCTCAAATTAAATAAAAGGCAATAGCACAGAAATTTTATTACCTATTAAATTCAGTTCGTATTAAACTCCAATGAAAGTTAAATAAACTATAATGGAGACTATTAATTTCACTGAACATTAAATTCAATTTCTCGTACATTAAAGTTTCAAAGGTTAAATAAAAGATGAATGAATACATTCTTCTCGATGATTACTTATTGATGTACTTAGATGTCATTACATAGTACGAAGAAGCATACATCTACTAATGAGTGAACCAGTATCAATGGAAATATCAATGTAACAAATTAAAATTGTTAAACAATGCATCATCGATTCGTCTAAAATCCATTGTTTGAATTTTTCAAAAAGTCCAAATAAAATGGTAACGTTGATAGTGACCGAATGCGAGGAGCATTCTGAAACTGATGATACAAGAAACCGGCGTTTCGAACGGTTTCGTTAGCGGCCCGGTAGATGCCGTTGACGGTGCCTTTTCGCATGACACCGCCCTTGTAGAACGCATCGCGGGCCGCACGACCAATACACTGGCAGAGTCAGTTGTGTATCGGGTTCGAGTTGTTCGGGTTGTTCGTCGTCGGTCTCTATCCTTTTCGCGGTTACGGGTTGCCACACTCGGACATCACCGTGCGGCGGTAGTCCATCAATGAATAATCGCGCCGTTTGTCGCATACTGAGAACCACTGACGTTCCGTATAATTCATGCCAAGGCGGAGACAAGCGCTCCGTAGGTGTGTGATGTGGTTCAATTCGGAAACCTCCTCGACCGTCGCTCGGGGATATTCGGAGATCGTACGCAAAATATGTGCCGGGAATAATGGTGGTAACGGCTCGTTAATAACACGAGTAACGCGAACACGATCGTAACGACGGAAGGTGCCGGTGAACGAGAGTCCGTGTTGTTCGGTGATCAATGAACTTTACGTTGCTGTATGTTTGGGGCGTGCTGCCACTGTTACCTATTAAGCCGGCAGACGTACGTATCCAAGAATAATATCGCACATTTACAATGTCCGTCCCTTCGTCGTTTCGCAATACCGTTCAGCCGATTTCTTTTCATTTCCCGAGGAGCATTTTACTGCCCCGCCTTGTTCTGGTTAATCTTCCTCCGGTCTCGCTCGTCGTCCGTCGTCTGTCGTCGTACTCGGAATGTTACTTCAAACGTCTTCGGATTGTCAGCGTGTTTTCTCGAAACGATCGTTCGATTCCGTTTAGTTTTTTCGGCTCGTTCGTGCGCGTATTAGAAAGTCCGTTAAATAGCAGGAACTAACGAGGCGTACGGTTAACGGTACACCGCTCTGTGCACTCGAGAGAGAGAGATCTCGGGATCGTTCATCGTTCGACAAATCAACACTTTTGTACCCTTTCGACCGCAGCCAATCTCTTAACGTATCCCATTAGCACTATTCGATCGGTAACGTAATCGGTGTAATCGTGGTTTGACGTAACATCGCGACGAGTATTTCCGTGGAGAGGTATACGCGGCCGAGTGGATCGTGTGCGGATGAACAGTTAACGCTTCTTACAGATAATAACATTATGAATGATGTAAACAAAAGAGAGCGATAATACACCCTTTTTTTTTCTCTCTCTCCCTTTCGATACGCTTTATGATAAATAATGGTTCGATTAATTGTCGTTTACGTAATCGTTGCCATTGACTTAGTTGCCGTATTCATGGGTACGCTTCTCTGCTTATTATCCTCGGTAATTTTTTTTATGCGTCAGAATGACCGTAATTTGTACAATGTCGTGCCGTGCTGCGTAGATAGGTACTTACATGTTAACGCGTAAACGAATTCTTCAATTTTCTTACCTTCTTTCTTTCTTTTTTCTTAATTTTCTTTCTTGTATAATATTATACGTAGCGTAAATTGGTTTTCCACTGCGAGGTGTATTTTTAATTGTTAAAACTATCGAGCGATTTTTTTTTTAGAAGAACACGGTTTTTATACGAGGACACGAAGTAGAGGCAACCGTGTCAAGAGTAATGAGATATTAAAGTGATACACTAGGCGTTAATCAGTTAATTTTAAGCGACAAAACCGTCCTATGCGTTAGCCGTTTTTTTTAAGTATTCATTGGGGTTTTGAAAATTTAACCTGTTAATCGGCCGATTTTGCCAACCGATTAGAATATAATGACATAAGTAGTTTATACTAACGTAAATGTAATGGTGCAATTAAATGTGAAGATTATTAGTCGAATAAATAAGAAATTGAGAAATTATTAAAAAGTAATTATACTGTAGAATATTAAAATATGTTTTTTTTTAAAACAAAGACATTGAATTTGTAAAGCATATTTCTATATAATTTGCATTTACTCAATGTTCTGTTACAGATGACTACGTAATAGGAAATTACACGTAAAATTTTCACTAGGAAAATAAAGATAACTGATTGATCTGCAGTTGAAGTTAGATGACTAAAAATGAATGATATAGAAAGTTTAAGCATGAAGGGCAGTGGAGGTTCTAAGATGCCTCACAGTCATTCGACTCCGGCAGGTGTGGATGGGGGTAGTAGAACTCCTCCCACAACACCTAGAAAAGCTGGGAAAATGCTCGCTGTTCGTGTACAAATGTTGGACGATACGATTACAATGTTTCAAGTTCAGGTAACATCTGCTAGATGCAACTCTTCAATGATATATTAAATTATTTATGCTTTGTATTTCTGTGGCTGTTCTAATGAACTTAAATACTTGTAAAGGTTGAACGAATGCTTTAACGCATTGGCTTAATGCTATAATGGCAAGTAATTGACCGTACCTCTACAATGGGACATTTAACAAGCACAGATGAATATAATTCATAGGATCCCATTCTAAATATATGTCTGAAGAATATTGAAATATAAACCATTAATATTCACGATAATTTGGTTTATCTACTTCTATTAATTAACATAAATGTTGAAAAGTAAATGGATATTTCGCTTTATATTTTGTGGAAATAGTTACCGTGCAGTGTATCTCATTTATATGATAAAATCATTCGCCGTGTAATGTACACGAGTTTAACACTTTTAAATGAACTATTGGAGCACATAATTGGTTCTACTATATTGCACAAGGTGCACGTATTGACGTATTGATTATTCATAAGACTCTACTTGCAGCATCTGAAACTTACTCTCCCTAGCCGTACATGAGACTTTAATACATAATAAGCATACAGGAAAAGATATACGTTAGATTTATGCCTACGAGACTGATACAAAGTTTTATAAGAAATAAACAGAGAACCCTATTTTCGTGCAGATATCCATAAACATATTTAAATTTTAGGCGAAAGCACTAGGCAGGGTACTGTTCGATCAAGTTTGCAAACAGTTGCATCTTCTGGAAGCCGACTACTTTGGACTCGAGTATCAGGAACCCAATGGAACTAAGGTAAATTTTCACATGATCGCATAGATAGAAATTTTATTCACACCTGTTTACCCATGAACGCGTTTTATTTGCAGTACTGGTTGGATTTAGAGAAGCCTGTTTGCAGACAAGTCGGACTTTCGTTGATAGATCCCCTTTTAAGATTTTGCGTTAAATTTTATACACCGGATCCGGCGCAGCTGGAGGAGGAGTTCACAAGATATTTATTTTGCCTTCAAATCAAACGAGATTTGGCGCAGGGTTTACTGCAATGCAACGATAACACGGCAGCTTTGATGGCCAGCTATATTGTTCAGGGTAAGCCGCTCGTAGTCAGCGGCACGCGCAATTTATTCTCTCGACGAGCACTTCTAAATCGATCGACTATTTCAGCGGAATGCGGGGATTACGTAATAGAGGATTATCCGGATCACACATACCTATCGACATACAAATTTGTACCTCATCAAGATCAAGAACTGGAACGTCGCATCATGGAGAATCATAAGAAACACGCGTAAGACGGTTTTCGATTAACGTTTGCATTCAATGGAGAACTGTGCGCCGCGTTTCGAATTGACCGAAGCTTTTTATCCTTTAAACAGAGGCCAATCTCCAGCGGAAGCTGATTTGAATCTTTTGGAGACAGCGCGTCGTTGCGAACTGTACGGAATGAAAATGCATCCGGCGAAGGTGAGTGTTACTAATTAGAATTCCTAATCCCTTTTTACACGACAGGTATACGGATAGTAACAACATATTCTTTGTCAAAGGATCACGAGGGTGATTCCCTGAACTTGGCGGTGGCACACATGGGGATCGTAGTCTTTCAAAATTTCACGAAAATCAACACGTTCAGCTGGGCGAAGATACGGAAGATCAGTTTCAAGAGGAAGCGATTTCTAATCAAACTTCATCCGGAGGGATACGTGAGTACGCCGTATCATCGAGCGAACCTACACTATCAAAGCGAGTCCCGTCTAAACGACTTCTCCTTTCCGATTACAGGGTTACTACAAGGATACGGTTGAATTCTTTTTCGAGGGTCGCAACGAGTGCAAAAACTTCTGGAAGAAATGCGTGGAGAATCACGGGTTCTTCCGTTGCTCTGTGGTGAAGCGAGTCGTACGGCAAAAGACGCGAGTTCTGAGTCGTGGTTCGTCGTTTAGGTATGTCCCTTCGGTAAAGCGGAAACACGAATTAATAGAAATTCATTGGTCAATAATAAACTGATCTACAGGTCTCCGACTCACGTTTTAATTCACAGTCAACGAGGAGAGGTCACACTCAGCCGGGTCTAAACGAGACGAATATTTTTGTTCTCAGGTATAGTGGGAAAACTCAGAAGCAGATCGTCGAGTTCGTGCGTGACAATTACGTGAAGAGGCAAACGTTTCAGAGGTGAGTACACAACACATACGCGCCGGGATGCTGCGTCGTTTGAAGATCAAACGAAGTTTTGGATATATATACATATATATATATATATACCAGTAATGCGTAGAGCATAGTGCATGCATACCG